AAACCCACTCAAATGATCTTTACATAATTTGTATATATATATATATATGTATGTTATTTTTTAGGTCATTGAGTACTTAATATGTGAATTAATTTATTGAGGGAACAACAGCAGTGCAAGAAACGAAAGAAGTGTTTAGTAGCTGGAACAACTATAATTTCATTCACACTTCCTGAGAATCTTCTTATCATGGCTGATAACATTGAACTTGTCAGTAGATTTTTCATCTTTAAATCTCTCATATCGTCTTTTAGGTAAAATTGATTTATAGAAAACTTGTTAATGGTTAATTTGCTTTTTGATAGTATACTTCAGAGGATCTCAATCGACCTAAAACTAATTGCAAGTACACAATCCAGCAAAGAATTGAAGGGTGGACTATTGAACAACGATAATGTAAAACTAGCATATATGATTCAATAAGTCACTTTAATCTTTTGAAGTGAACAAATTGATTTTTTGGAACATGCATCTAGAAATAAAAAAGTTTATACATGATTATCCAAAAACCTTGACAACATTTATCCGATGTGGAACTGTAGTATTTTATTCATAATGGATCACAAGGGATCATTTTGATCAGCTGTAGAGGTGACAAACTTTATACTTCATGAGATATATCCAAAAAAGCCCACTCCTAAACCAAGAAAGAAGAAACCATAAGAAAGAAGTAGTTCTAGAGTGCTACAGGAAGAAGGGAGTAATCCTTTGCAAAAAAATGTCAGTAGGTCGAGGAAGAATAAGATAGATGGAGAATAAGGGAGTAACTCTATGCGAAGAAAGGTTGGGAGACCAAAGAAAGTGGTGGATGGGGAATAAATGACTTCTTCTGTATGTTTTTTTCTTTAATATGTATATATTAGAAATATTTAAGTCATCATTAAGTATCTAGTGTTGAACTATTTTATCTCAATTCTTCTTCTTTTTTCGAATAAATGCCTCTGATGGGGAAGCCCAAAAAGAAGATGGAGAAAGAAATGACTGCTTCGGTAAGCGGATTGTGTACATTTATGTATGTGTATATATATATAACTGCTTAGTTAAAAATGTATATAATAGCTCATTAATGTTTATAATGTTGATTTAAATACACTTGGTTTGCCTTTTAATTTATAAGTACCAATAATAGAGGAAAAGCTGAAGGAAGTAACAAGTGAGACATCGTGGGTCATTGATGAAGTAGTTAATTAATATAAAACATTAAAATCAATCTTTTTATTATTGAGTTGATCACTAGATTTAACTTGGCTTGTGTTGTATAAATGGAGTCTTCAATGTTGGGATTCATTGATTCTATAATAAAGAAGATGAAAAATGAGAATTATTCTACCGAAGTAACTAATTTAATCTAATTATGTAATATATTGTTATTTATAGGTATAAAATAAAATTCACACTAACTTAATTTCTTGGTACTTATAGATGATGAGGAGTGCAATTAAGAAGGGAAAGAGAAAGTGAGTGGAAGAAGAGATTGATCCCATTAATGAGGTGATTAAATTTAATTCTTTTGTATTATACATTTACAAATTATATGGGTGAATAAACTTAGTTTATTGTTTGCAAAGGTTGTGGAACATTTCCAGCATGAACTTATAGATGAACCAAAGGACAATATTGCATAAAGTTATTGTGTGAGTAATGTTTAATAAATATTTAAGTTGACATATGATTGCACTACAAGTACTAAAATTATTCTTTATGAGGCAAAGGGAAGTGTCGCTATTGAAGAGGTAAAAAGAATTGTGGAATTGTATCACTCAAAGTACAAGCCAAAAGATATATTGAAGAGGTACATTCATGAATTGAAGAGAAAGACACCAGAGTTTAATAAGAAGACTTCCTCAGAAGACGTGTTCATGATGATGCCTAAACAGTCGAATAAAGGCATCGTGATTAATGAAAAGAGAAAAAAATGATGAGAATGAGTATAAGATATATTTTGGTGGTATTTATGAAAAAACAATGAAAGACATTTGACTCTTCTTCCAATATAAACCAAAAACTATTTGTGAGTCTCCCTTAACTCAAAAAGTGAGCAACAAGGGCCTACCATTATGTTATAACAAGTAAGGAGAGCAAAGTTTATTGACTCCCAATGTATTGATTATGATGATATTTATAGATAATGAAATCACTTTCTTGCTGCAACTATAGTTCATATGGTATTATCATAATATAATGGGGGTTAAAAAAACTCTACAAAGCAAAATTTTTATTCAAGGTATAAAAAAGTTGCCATTAATCTTATTTTTTAAGTGAGATTAGACACCAAAATATATATTAGTTTTGAACCAAATTTTAGATCAAAACTTTTACAAGATGGGAAGGTGTTAGGCATTGTCCTTTTAGTATAGGCTAGTTAATTTAAATTAACTAAATTTTATACTTAAAAAATAATGGAAAAGCATTAAAATGAAATTACCTTATATAAAGAAGTTTTAAAGCTTTTTTTAATTGCAAACTTGAAGAGTAATCATTCAACTTTTCCTTTATAGCCAACTGTTCAATCATCATATCAAATAAACGTGGGAAGATCAAACTCATTTAATTGCAATTCTCTATTTTAATTAACTATAAATTCTAACATTATTAAAATTAAAATTTATAAAAACAGTATGAAACTTAAAAAGATAGAAAATGGGTATATAATTTTATTGTTGTTTCAATAAAATGTATAAGAGCGAATCAAATTTATAAATATAGAAAATAAGTATATAATTCCATTGTTCTTTAGTCAAATTTTAATTTCCCTCTTCACAAATAAGGAAAAAAAATTCAAAGCTTCCACCATATTTTTATCATATTATCATCGTAGCGAAAATGTAGTTGTGTGAATGATAGTGAAAATGAGTCAAACACATTCAAGTTGATAAAAAAACAAATTACAGAAGTAATTATATCTATATATATATACAAGCCGATGGTTTTGTATATCTTCTAGTAGTATTTTCACAATTATTTATATGTAAAAAGAAATATAAAATTAAATATGTGAATTCTCATATTAAATTTGTGAGATATAATGTAATATAAATAAATATTATCGTTAGTCCTAATCTAATTAAAAAATTTTAAATTATAAATATTGATTTATATAAGATAAATTATTTTTTTTGAAAAAAGACTAAATGAACCTATAAAGATAATGTACTTTATTCCTAGCCAGTAAATAAATTAACTTGCTTAGTTAAAAATACTTCTCATACTTTCTTGTCAGTTTATAGTAGTGCAAATTCAATAAAATCTATTTTTCTTTTTATATATTCTCTTAATTAGAAATTTGACAATTTTTAATATATTTTATTTTATTTTAATATTATTTAAAATTAAATAAGTAATTTTTTCAAACATTTAAATTTATCTATAAAATTTATTATGTCCAAATAGGTAAATATAGCATATAGCAATATATGGTTGGAGAGATTTTTCAAATATAGTCATGTACTTTCTGGAAGGAAAAATCCAAATTGAAAAAAACTATAAGATGGGATACTTGAATAAAAAATATCACTATCTCATTTTTTAGGCCAATCAAAGGACATAAAAATTTTATATGCTTATCCCAAGTTATATGCACGTCTTGCAAGCCTTAATATATAAATTGAAGAACAGACACCATATAACCATCTCTTTTCACTTTATTTTCTAGAATCAACCATGATTATCATTTCTGGTTGTGATAGTAATGGTGAAGGTGACAGAAGGAACAAGAAAGATAAAGTGCTTGATAAACTAATGATTATACATTCTGTTAAACTACCTTTGAATCTTCTACAATTGCAAAGCATATAGATATTTGGGTATGTAGATCTATTTTATTTTGAATGCATTTGATTATTGTTACCGTCAAAATGAAGAATAAAACACAAACTAAAACCTAAATTCATTCGTTTAGTTACTAAATAGAATAGGACTCAGTAGTTTAGTTTTATACAATGGCTTTGGAACAAAATATCGATAATGCAGATAAAATAAGTTAATAAAAAAAATAACTAAAAATTGAAGAGTCAAAGTGCTCAAGAGGGGAATAGGAGGTGCAAGAGACTTTTCCAAACAGAAGAACAGAATCATTTGGTCACAAACTTTTCAGATTTAGTTAATCATGGTTTTTGATAACCAAGTAGTGGATATAAGCATTTTCATTTGAAAATTTGATGATAATTGAGCAAAAAGTGATTCAAGTTGAATCACACAAGGTTTAAAACAAAAACCAAACAAATGGCATGGACGTAATCAATTTTTTATTCAACTTGAGATACCCAGAAGGGGTATATATTGTTGGCTTCAAACTTCTAAGGTTCTAAATTCAAGTCTAACCTATCATTGTAAATTACCAGGTGTGCTTTTCATCTTTCTCCTGCAAGACTATGTAGTTTTGTGCTAAAAATAACACTTTGCAGTGCCAAAGCACATGTAGGCAGTTTGATTTTTCTAACACGAGAAAGGATCAATGTCAGTTATGAGTTTGCTACTTCATTTACCCCATTCTTTTACCTACATGAAGATGGTACCAATTCATAAAAATTCTAAGAAAAAATTGAAATTGAATTGATAGGAAAAGATCATTTAGTTGGATCGTCATTGCATCTTTCTCTTCGTTCAACATCATTCATCCTACTTCTAGCTACATTAACTACTTGTTTATAGAATAGTCAACTTGGATTAAGCAGGAAATTCTCAAAGAACCAAATGACACATACTACAATTGATTTCTTATCTTGGGAACAAAACTCTTTGATCAATCAAATATCATCCAAATCGACGAAAAGAAAACCCAAAGCAGACGAACTGTATTTATGCCAAAGACCAACTAGCTATTGTTATAACAAAACTTTTTTATGCGAACAATAAACACAATCTAAATTCAAAGACATAATTCTAAACGACAGAACAATCAAGCACAAAAGTCAAGAGGCAGTAATCGCCAAACCAAAATACCCAACTGCAATAACAGAGAAAGTAGAAAACAATATTAGGGCTAATTTTGAACAAATTAATTGCAGAAAAAAGTGCTAATTCCATAACCAAGCAAACATAAAGTGTAACTGAGAGACGCCCCATCTGTAGCATGCACTATGATCCAACTATATTAGAATTTCAAATTTAAACTATATTATCTCGACATAACAGAACCAGAGAAGAGAACAAACTAATGACATAACAGCAGCGTACCAATAATCAAAATCTTCAAAACCCATCAACGTCCAAGCTTCAAAACTAGATATCTCATATCTAAAAGCTGTAAACAAAACAAAAAACCACAGAATAGAAAAACCAGAAACCTCAACGGTAACTCTTCTGGAATCTGGCACGAGCACCGCGACCACCGAACTTCTTGGGCTCGCACCTCCTGGGGTCAGCAACGAGAAGGGTCCTATCGTAACTCACCAGAATGTCCTTAATCTCCTTCTTTTGCTGCTCATCAACGAACTTCTGGTAGAAAGCCACTAAGGCCTTGGCGATGCTCTGTCGGATCGCATAGATCTGGGAGGTGTGCCCACCACCCTTGACTCGGATCCGCATGTCGACACCGGCGAAACGGTGACGTCCAAGGAGAAGGATTGGCTCGTATGCCTTAAAACGCAGGATCTCTGGCTCCACCAGCTCGATTGGGCAGCCGTTAATCTTGATCAGTCCGCGGCCACGCTTGCAGTGAGTGACCGCCACCGCTGTTTTCTTCCGGCCGAAGCACTGTACAGACTCAACCGGACCTTGAGTCGCCATTTTTAGGGTTTTTGGGGGTTCAAGGGAAGGAGAATTCTGCAAAGATGGATGCAAAAAGAAGAAAAAGTTGAGTATTTGTTTATATAGAATGGCAAGGGTGGCTACTGGCTAGGGTTTTTTCTCAGGATGGTTTAGCATAGGTTTAATTGTCAAACTAGTTTCTGATATTTGGACTATTTGTAAATTGTTACGTGTTTTAATTTTTTTTAATTTCTATATTAATCTTTTAATTAACCTATCAGTTAAAATATTCAATTTAAGATTTTGTTCAATTTAAAAACATTCAAATCTTATTTGTTGAAGACAAAAGCTTCCAGTTATGCTCTGTCTCTCAAGCTAGAATGTGAAAATCCACTGTAAATATATATATATATATTCAACTTCTTGTAAATTAAATTCCCGTAATTAAAATATTGTGACTTGTTCTAATGTCATAATTATCACATGGTAATAACATGTTAAAAAGTTTATTTAGTTTAACAATAATTTATATAAATATCTTATTAAAAAAATGAAAGTAAGAAATTTAATTATAATCATTGATAAGTCAAATATTAGATTGAAAAGTAAATTAACGATCAGTAATAGTTTCTGCTATTAAATTAAAAAATATATATTTAATTTAAATTTATTTACTACTTCAAATTTATTGAAAAATATTTATTGGTTTTAATATTTTTACAAAATACTTAATTTATATAAAAAATTACTAATATAAATCAAGGTGGCACAAATCATAATAGACTACAATGGAGATCAATGATACATGAAAACTCACGATCACAAAGAGAATCATTGCTACATGAGCTTCTAAGCTCAAGGCCACATAAGGAATCAAGGCATGAAAGGTCATGTTATTTAGGGGATCAAGGCCATATGAGAGGAGATTAAGACATAATCCACAAGGAAGCCTATCCACTTGAAGGGAAGCCTAAAATAGATCCAATTCAAGGTGCACTTGTGCTTTATGAATGGATTATCACTGTGTCAAGTGGACAAAGTACAATATCATGGGACAAGAAACTCAAGAAAGACCTTCAAGCTTATGCCAAAAGGTAAATCCATAAAGAATAAAGTTTTGAGCCAAACTTGGGAGGTCTTGAAAGGTGGAGGCTAGGTCCATTAAGTAAAAGGGAGTCTCCGCCAAGCATTCTCTGACAATTCATGGGATTTTCAACCAACTCATCCATAAAAGAGTTCTTATTCTTAATGAAAACCACCCAACAAGAATCTTTACTCATGGGAGATATGGCTGGTTTTCCAAACTTAAAAAGGATAAAAAATCATTATCCTATCATTGGTGGTCGAACACAAGCTAATCTTTCATAAGGAGTCCTACAAATCTTGAACACTAAACCAAGTCCTATACAACTCAAACTCGAAGCTACAAGAGTCCTTAAGTTGTCGGACTCTAGAGTGTTGCATCGTCTATAAGTATAGGAAGACAATCACTCTTTTTGGAAGAGTCATAGCTAAACATTCATCTCTTGTAAGGCATATTATACATGTGAAAATAAGGATTTTTATCAAAATAAGAGTCCTCAAAATCTTGAGCAACCGAACAAATCTTATTCAAAGAACCATATACCTCTTATCTTGGACAAATTTCAACTTCAAATAAATCAAGGATAAGAGTTCTTATCACACGAAGTCATGGTTGGATCTTAATTCATCTTCAAAGGTGAGAAAATCTTCTCAAGATAGATGTCATTACCGAGCATTCTACTCCAATAGATATTCAACTACATCCTTAATGAGTTCATGCATTTCATATTTTTTTATTCAAGAGTAACGAGTGCATTCTTATTTTTGAAATAAAAAAAGAGAAGATGTATTAATGTGAGGTGCTAATGGAGCACTACCCATTTACAAAAAATTTACATATCAATTAGCATATCTATAATAGAACCTAAATCTTCAAAACCTTTTAGATTATGCCCTAAAATAATAAAGTCAAAACAATAAAACTATTTATCTTTGATGCTATTAAAATCTTGTTCAAGCCCCTCAAAAGCCCTGTTGTTTCTCTCTTTCCAAATAACCCAGAAAATGGTAAGAGAGATTAATTTAAACGTTTTGTTACTACTCAGACTTTCCCATGCCAGAAGTTTGGAATAAATAGAATTTGCCATTACCCAAGAGATCCTCACAAGTTCGAGTATCATACTCCAGAGTTTGTGAGATGTTTGACATTTCAAGAGTAGATGATTATAAGATTCAAAAGATCTATCTTGGATGGGGGCCCCGATTTCCAAATGATTTTTGAAGGGAAATGATTTTTCACTAGAGTTATGATTGGCCAGAAAAGAGTAGAGAGAGCTAACACTGAAGAGGTCATTCTTTTTAAATTTTCAATACAGTTTTATTATTTTGATTTTGCAGTTGTGTGTTTGCCAATAAGTGAAGTAAGAATTGATAATTTTCTAGTTCCTAACCTTGAAGGTTCCTCATCACTGAGACATTCCAGGAGGCAGGAATGACTGAACCAACAATATCATTTACTGTGGCAGCTTTGTATCTAGCAATCCCGTAGATAAGAGGATATTTGTCTTTTAATTTTTCTGAACCGCACCAAAAATCTTCCCAGAAACAGAACCCATTACCAATACTCCATTTTGAGCATTGAAATATCACATTATTTAGTGTAATAATATTCTTCCATAAATTGTAACTATAGTTGTTGTTTTTAATATAAGAGAGATTTTGTGGATTGTCATTATAACATTTTGAATCCATCATCATTTTCCAGAGACTGTCATTTTACCAAGAAGTGTTTTGTTTAGTTTGACAATTGATCTTAGTCCCAAGCCCCCTTTTTTTAAGGGTTTTTTTTTATCTCCAACTAATTCATTAAGTGGTATTTCTTGCAATTTTCACTATCACCCCAAAGAAAGTTACATTAGATCTATTATAGTTTTTTTGCCACTTTATTTAGTATCTTAAGCACCGATAAAAAGTAATCGGGAGATTGGAGAATGTGCTTTTAATCAAGGTCAATCTACCTCCTTTTTATAGAAATTTTTATTTCAAGTAGATAATCTATTATTGAACAAATCGATCATAGATTCCCAGCAATTACTGTCATTGTGCTTGGTGCCAAGAGGAACGCCAAGGTACTGATAAGTAACTATGTCTACTTGGAGCCCAAAAACCACACTAAAGTCTTCATTTATGGAGCTGTTTCCCAACAAAACCATCTCATATTTTTAGAGATTTACATTTAAATCAGAGATAGCTTGAAAGCATAGTAGAAAACATTTTAGAAAGATGAGGAAGCTGAAATCCGGTTGATAGAAAATCAATGTATCATCAGCGAAAAAAAGATGAAAAAATTTTATTTTGTGATCTCTGTTACTTGTAGTAATCCCTTTAATCAAGTTTGGTAATTTTGCTTTCTCAATAAGTTGATTCAGTGCCTTCATCACAATAATGAATAAGAGTGGAGAAAGGGGATCCCTTTGTCGTAGGATTCTAGAGGCATTAAAAAAAGTGGAGGGCCTGGCGTTGATGATCACAGCAAAACTAGTAGTGGAAACATATGTTTTTATCCAGCTTCTCCATTTGGATCCAAAACCAAGTCTCAAAAGCACATAATCCAAGAAATTCCAGTTAACGTGATCAAATGCCTTTTCCATGTCAAGTTTACACAGAATTCCTTCCTTGTTGTGTCTAATGGCTTCGTCAATTGTTTCATTAGCAATTAAAATGACATCAGCAATCTGTCTTCCAGGAACGAATGTGTGTTGATAGTTTCCAATGATGTTTTTTAATACATTTGACAATCGTTTTGCTAATACTTTGGATAACAATTTGTAAATACACCCAACAAGACTTATAAGACGAAAATCATTGTAATTCTTTGGCTGAGCTTTTTTGGGGATCATAACAAGAAAAGTGGAGCTAAGTAATTTTACAAAGGTTTTGTGGCTGTGGAAATCATTTAATAACTCTAATATATCACATTTGATGATATCCCAAAAAAATTGAAGAAACTTGATGTTGAAACCATCCGAATCTGGGGCTTTGTCCCCATCACATATGTAGTTTATGGTCCTTCAAGAGTCCTAAATAAGCATTGTAGTTAGGAGTCCTTAATTGTTTAAGAGTTCTTTTCCTTTAAGGGAACTCATAGCTTACATCTATAAATAAGCCTCATGTACTCGGTTGAAATCATACAATTCAATTCAAAAGTTGGTTAATAAAATTTGTTACTTGTGAGATTCTCCAACCTTCTTGTTGCGTAGAGAATTATTGTCGATTTATTAAGATAACTTGTACCGTTTTCATCAATTTCTTTTCTTGAATGAATTTTAACTTATTAAGATATTTTTTGTGACATTTTAATCAATTTATTTATCTCTATTATCTTAATTTCAATCACAGAATGATTGTGAGTTAAGTAAAAAAAATGTATTTACGACGTTAAGTTTCTATAAAGATTTATTTACGACGTTAAATTTCTATGCTAATTATATGTGTATGTTTGGATTGTATTGTTGATTCTAATGTCCTCATTAGTTAATATCAGAGCTTAGGAACTAGATACATCTCAAGCATTATATATATTTTATGTTCTTCACATGATTCTATTATCCTTGCATCCGTTCATACGCATCATAAAATAAAAACAAAAAATATATCAGCATCATATCCATATTGTTTTTCTTTACACTCGTAGCTTATTTCATCGTACTCTTATTCAATTACATCACTAAGTAGCTAATTGCATTCTAGTTACCTAACTTCAAACACAAACACATATCATTTTCATCTTTGTGTTTATATTCTGTTATCATCTAGAGTTGTTTACCACTTTTCTTCAATTAGAACTTCTTGAAGCATCATCAAACAAAATCTGATTATTTTAATTTAAAGAATTATTTTAATTATATTCTAACTCTCAAATGAACACATATGAATGAGTATGCCTAAAGTTAATAATCAATTGGTGTATAAAGAACATTCACAAACCACTCTCAAGATTAGTGTTTTTTAAGAAATAGTTTCTTAGAAAAATTGTAAAACTCACATTTTAT